TCTAGTATTACCTTGGTCTCTCTTTAGTTCTTGAGACCAAGATGCAGATGAACTACAATATTAGCTTAAACAGGGTAAGGCTCTAATGAGAAGTATTACCTCTTGCTCAATATGCTGTATGATTGCTTAGGCTTCCATAACCATTAGGTTTTTGGACAATGAAAATGCACAGGGTTTTCTTTTTCTTTGGAGAACTGAAAATATGCTTCTCTATTTGTAGGAGACGTTGATTACCATGTTACCGAGGAAAGTTTAATGGATCGACTTCATACAAACATGCATGATGCATGCCTCCAAATTGACAAAGGATGCAGGTTCGATTTATGTTACTTCCATTATGTCAATACCTTCTCTTTGTTCTCGTTGCCATTTATCCAGGTGAAACAGACTCATCTGCAAAGTTAAAAGTCAAAAGAAAAGGAAAATAAAGCCACTGAAGAACTTTGTGCAGTTTCATTAGCACTCATGCAAATGGTTTTTCTTAAGTTAAGTTCTATTTAATGCAACTTTAGAAAGGAAATACTCAGAAAACTTTGCTCTCAACAGCAATTTAACCTCTTCAAAGGAAAGATATTAGGAGAATATCAGTCTTCCTTTCAACAGAGTTGTTACACTCATGAACAATTAATCCATCTTAAAATGTTATCTCAAAATCCTAGTTGCTCGTCTATACCTATTCTTCTAGTTTTCAACTAAACAAAATAATGAGACGCATGATCTTTTGGGGAAGATGGAGATGTAGACGGAAATTTGGAAACACAGAAGAACGAGATATGTTAAAATGTTGAACTCGAGAAGCCTGAAGCTGTCCTTTATGTTAACTTGCTATTTCTTTGTATGACCAAAATCTACTGCAGATAAAAATTTGAGAATTCTATGTTCAAATTTGAGAATTTACTTGTTAAAATGTTATTTCTTGTTATTTGAGAATTCTATGTTCAAAAGATAAAAATTGATCTAACAGTTTACCTGAAATTTTTTAGTTGATTTAAAGTTCTAATATTAAAAAATAATTAAATTATATTTTTCAATATAAATCTTTATTTAACGTATAAAAATATTGGCTATATTTTATTATAATAAATTCTAAAATTTAATTTTTCTTTAACCGCTTTATTAGAGTTTAAGTTCAATTTTATGTGTTTTCTCTCATCCTCTCTCGTCATTTTCTTAGAATATGGGGAGCAAATTCTGGGAAAAGAAGAGGTCTAAGCTTTAAAGTCAAGATGCCTAGACTATGCCACCAAATAGGTGAAATTCTTTGGTTTGCGGAATGGGGACAATTTTGACATTCACGACATTACATAGAAGGCAGTTTCCTTGGAATAGACTATTTTAGATCGTATGATCAATGGACTTTAAGAAACTATAATAAAGATAATTTCTTTAAGTTATAGAAACTTTGGAGGTTGAACATAGTAAAAAAATTTAATAAATATATTTGAGTTGCAATTTTATTGAACTATTGAAAACTGATGGTGAAGGTTCTACCTCACAATTGAGATTGTTGTATGATAGCACTCTAACCTCACTGCCATCTCGACTGTTGGCATTATATCTCTAGTCTGATCTTTTCACCTTAAATACACCATTGACTCGATGTGATCTAAGGTACTAACTGCTGAATTTTCACTTGTACAGGGTATTGACAATTCATGGATCTGCGGATGAAATTATTCCTGTGGAAGATGCTTTGGAGTTCGATAAGATCATACCAAACCACAAGTTACATATCATCGAAGGAGCCAATCATTGTTATACCTCACATCAAGCTGAGTTAACGCCTGTAATCTTGCCATTCATAAAGGAAGGTCTGCAGAAGAACTAGGATACTAGGCAGGTACTGTGGATGCCGCTATCATTGAAATTCTGGTTTTAGATAAAATGTGAGCTGGTTGTTACAATCTAACTTGCGCAAATGAAAGAAACTATTGGCAGGGTCTTAACTGTACTTCTCAGTGTAATTCAGAGCTTGTTTGGCATCATATCGGGCTTTACTACATGGGGAATTCTTTATGTACTTCATACTAGAGTGAAAATTCTGCATATTCAGTATGAGCTAGACATATAACAAGATGAACGAGAGGATGAACGTCTCTTGCGTTCCCAATGCATTTGGATTTGTATCTCGAGCTTGCAAAATGAAGAATTGTAAAATTGTAGAAGCCCATGTTTTCCTTTTTCTGTGTTGACAGGATTTCTGAAGTCAAATTGAGATCAGTAATAATACTCGTTTTGTTTTTTATGACAGTATTTGATTGAACATATATGTTAAGTTGTTAATTTGACTTCACATTTTATTAGTGAAGACATTAAAGTAGTGGTTGAAAAGTTAATTTTATAGACAAAAATCAGAACAAAGTTCAAAATTTAAATAGTTTTATGAATTTGAATTTTTGGAAGTTGTGATCGCGCGAACTCTTTCAGAAGAGGGAAGAGCATTTGGTTACTTTCAAAAGTATGGTGGCTAAGACTCAGATTGATTATCTTCTTCTCACGAGGAGCGAGAGGGGGTTGTGCGAGGATTGCAAGGTTATCTCGAGCGAGACCCTTGCGTCATAACATAGGCTCTTTGTGATGGACGTCGGTGTCATGATAACAAGGAAAAAAAGGTTTGTTCGGGGTCAACCGAGGATCAGATGGGGAGCCTTGACGAAGGTTAAAGCTCAGGAGATGGAGAGGAGGTTATTGGCTTTGGGAGCCTGGCGGAGTAGTGGGGATGCAAGCGAGATGTGGACGACGACGGCAGACTGTATTAGAGAGGCGGCGAGAGAGGTATTAGGGGTCTCGAAAGGTTACCCCAGGTAGGCACCGAGGCGACTGGTGGTGGAATGACGTGGTCCAAAGTAAAGTTGAAGCAAAGAAAACGTCGTACCTTAAGTTAGTGGAGAGCACAGACGAGGATGAGAAGAGAACAAACAGAGGAATATATAAGGAAGCTAGGAAGAAGGCGAAGTTAGCGATTACTGAGGCTAAGACTGCTGCGTTTGATTGTTTGTACGAGGATCTAGGGGCCAGAGGAGGGAATAAGAAGTTATTTCGGCTGGCCAAGGCGAGAGAGAGGAAGGCTCGTGAACTGGACCAAGTGAGGTGCATCAAAAACGAGGATGACAGAGTACTAACGGAGGATGCCCAGATTAAGCGGAGATGGCAGGCTTACTTTCATAAACTTCTGAATGAAAAGGGAGATAGAGACATTGTTCTAGGGGAATTAGGGCACTCTGAGAGTCACCGAGACTTTATGTAATGTAGGCGTATTAAGGTTGAGAAGGTCGTGGGGTGCTTTGCGCAAGATGAGTCGGGGCAGAGCTACCGGGCGCGACGAGATTCCGGTAGAATTGTGGAAGTGGGTGGGTAAAGCAGGCTTGGAATGGCCGACTGCGCCGTTTAATGTTATTTTTAGGACGAAGAAAATGCCAGATGAATGGAGGTGGAGCACGATGATACCATTGTAAAAGAATAAAGGTGATATCCAGAGCTGTAACAACTATAGGGGTATCAAGTTACTAAATCATACTATGAAAGTTTGTGAGAGAATGGTAGACGGAAGGTTGAGGAGGGCAATGTCTATTTCTGACAACCAATTCGGGTTCATGCCGGGTCGTTCGACTACGGAGGCTATCCACCTTATCAGGAGGTTGGTGGAATAGTACATGGATAGGAAGAACTTGCACATGGTATTTATTGACCTTGAGAAAGCGTATGACAAGGTTCCCAGGGAGGTGTTTTGGAAATGCCTGGAGGTGAAAGGTGTGCCAGTAGCTTACATTAAGGTGATAAAAGGACATGTATGATGGAGCTAAGACTCGGGTTAAGACTGTGGGTGGTGACTCGTAGCAGTTTCCGGTTGATATGGGGTTGCACCAAGGATCTGCGCTCAACCCGTTCTTATTTGCCATGGCGATGGATGCACTCACATACCATATTCAAGGGGAGGTGCCTTGGTTGTATGTTGTTTGCTGATAATAGAGTTCTGATTGATGAGACGCGAGGCGACGTTAACGAGAGGCTGAACCTAAGGGTTTCAAATTGAGTAGGACTAAGACAGAATATCTGGAGTGCAAGTTCAGCGACATGACGGGGGAAGCAGATTTGGACGTGAGGCTTGACTCTCAAGTCATCTCCAAGAGAGGAAGTTTCAAGTACCTCGGGTCAATTATCCGGGGGAGCGGGGAGATTGATGAGGATGTCACGCATCNGGCAAGTTTTATCGAGCGGTAGTTAGACCACAAATGTTATATGTGGTTGAGTGTTGGCCAGTTAAGAATTTCCATATCCAGATGATGAAAGTAGTAGAAAAGAGGATGTTGAGATGGATGTGTGGGCACACTAGGCTGGATAAAATTAGGAATGAATATATTTGGAAGAAGGTGGACGTCGCTCCCATAGACGACAAGATGCGGGAAGCGAGGCTTAGATGGTTCGGGCACGTGCGGAGGAGAAGCCAAGATGCCCCGGTTAGGAGGTGTGAGCGAGTAGCTTTGACGGGTATGAGAAGACGAAGAGGGCGGCCTAAGAAGTATTGGGGTAAGGTGATCAGGCAGGACATGACACGACTTCAAATTTTTGAGGACATGACTCTAGATAGGAAGGTGTGGAGATCGAGCATTAGGGTGGATGGTTAGGAGGGAGTCGAGCACTTTTCTTCCTTCGTATCGGAGGTGGAGCTAACATGTTGTTGTCTTTGGGTTATTAGCGGTGTAAGTTTATGTCCACACTATTTTTCCGTTTTTCCATAGTTCAGTAGCTCTATTACTAGTTGTTGTTATTGCTTTTCTATCCATTTTTTGTTTCCTACGATGCTAATATTATCTCTCTAATTTTTGTTGTCACATATTCTCTATTCCTCCGGGGTAGGAGTAAGGTCTGCGTACATTCTACCCTCTCCATACCTCACTTGTGAGATTTTACTAGGTTGTTGTAAAAGTTATAAGGTAGTATCGAATATTTTGGAACGTTTCAAAATGAGAAAATGCTGTATAAATTTAAACAGAACAACAACAATAACAATATATTTTACTTTCAGGCTAAAAACGTTATTCACATTTACGGACCGCTGTATTATACAGAGCAGTAAAAAATGTCTTATATATACAAGGCCTCCCAGCTAAAATAAGAACTGGCAAATTTTACCAATGATAACATATCATGGTGATATCCTGGAAAATACACGTTTCTGTAAATTGCTTTCTGGAAGATTGAACTAGTTGGTAGGGATATAATGAGACATCGACATGAATACCACTCCTTCACTGCTACTCTACTCCCTCTGCAGGTACACCTTTGCTTCACCCTGAATGGAAAAAATGTTGTTCCTCTGGAGAAATAACCCATAAAATTATAAATAATATGAGTTGGAAAGCTTTTGGCAGTCACAGTTGATTAAAGTGTCTAAGAAAACTAGCACGACGAAAAGGTTATGCAGAAACAGAAGACTTAACTCACCGGAATGTAGGCGGCAATTGTTCACATAACAGATGATGCAAAAGAAACACTTTAAAAACAAATAAATAAAAGGGTCACAACTCTAACATAAAAGTTGTTAGAAAAAGTAAGAGCCCGACAATGTATTCGTTACAGTTATCACTTCAAACACAGAAATGAAACTAGCCAGTCCCGGTTTATTGTCATAGAGCTTACTAGATAAGTTCACATATCACCAAAAGATTCTTTTCTTTTTTGCGTGATAAGCGATTTCACAAACTAGTTCATAGAAGGATCGTCTGCACCTGTATAATGTAGACGGATCTACTGTTTAATGAAATAAAAGTTTAGTGATAACCAGGGGCAAATTTAGGCTTAAATTATGGTGCACGTGAACCCATGGTCTTTCCGCTAAACTAGATGTTTTATATACATATTTCCTAGAATTAATCTAATATTATTTCCTGGCCCCTATGCTCCAAAAAGGTTGTACAGTGCACTTGGTTGAATGTTGAGTTATTTACTCAAAGAAAGAAGGATTAATTTCCACTAAATCCTATGGCGATAACCCAACAATTCCAGTGACAAAAGCGCGCAAAGAAACATCTTCTGCTTCAGATGTGCTGACACCTTATATCCATATCTTACCCGTACCCTCAGTTGAGCAACAGAGCAACACCATCCTCAATAGCATTCGGCTATTACTAGTTCTGATCTTTCTCCTCGAAATTCTGCAAACGAATCAAAATTTAACAAACGTAAAAATGGCCCATTATAGTAATCCAAGTAACACATTTCAATAAATATTTCAATTGTCTGGTCTAAACTGAATAGAGCGAGATGAATTCAGACAATTCACATAGCAGACACCAGACTCTGATGTCCTCAACTCCCAACTGAGTACACCACTTGCATAAACTCCAGCAAACCGGCAGTTTGACCCATAATTGCACAGCTTCTTATGCTGTTATATTGTGTTTTTTCCAGTTTCACGAAAACGAAAAAAGAGGGCTGAGGGGTGGGGAAGACCGTCAATTAGTGGTTTTGTTCCTCCTTCCCAACCTCCAGTGATTGGATCAACATTCCATTCTTGTTCCAGGGTATTGATTCAAGAAATATTTCCTACTCTACTTTTATAAAGAAGTTTCTAGAGCCTCCTCTTACCTCTTCCATGTCATCCTCATCATCAGATGGATCTAATCTCGAGTATAAGGTCTCCTCATCAATCTCCTCAACCATGTTCATATCTTCCTGTAGATTTTTCAGCAGAAGTAAATAAAAATGAAAGCAAGAGGTGATATGCAAGTTGAACGATACGGAAAATATATCTCCAAAAAAGCAGGAATTTCATACTAGATCAGACTTCAAATTCTGAAGCTTATCCTGCAACTCCGTTATATGATGCTTTAGTGCCTGCAAAATTTTTCAGTGGTGGACATCCATAAGGTGAATCTCAAGATATCTGAGACATCAAATACATCTATCTGCAAAAGAAAATGACAATCATGAACATGTTACCTCACGTCTCTGAAGTTCAATTGAACGGGTCAAAGCCTGCCTCTTAGTCAAAAGATTTTTGGGCCTGAATTCACTAGGACGCTGGTAATTTTTCCCACGATAGAGTATAATTGCGTAGCCTTGGGTAGTCTTGTCTATAGATACCAAAAGACCACCACTTTCAGCCTCAAGAGTAACTGCAATGTGTTTTATTTGTGCTGCATTTCTCCTCTCTGCAATGATCTTTACTAGCTCCCGGTATTTCCAATGTAAATGTATGTTCTCTATAGTTCCATCAAAAACATCTCGCCTCCCTGAACAGAAATGTGTTAGTTATGCGCTCTATCCTTAGAGAAACTATGGGATTCAGCAAGTAGCAACCCTTACCTAGAAGCAGAAAAGGTTTCATGCTGAGACCCATCTTACGAAACAGAAACCTTTCCTCAGCAGATAATATTTCCAAATCAGTTGGCAGCTCAGATGGTTCCCGATTTTCCTGCAATTTCCGTAACATATTTTCTGCCTTTTTGATCTTGCCTTTTGCCTGCAGGAACCAATCCAACAATTATTCATTTGCACATTTGCGGCAGTATTTTCACCTTTATTTACAAAAAACTTACATGGGCTAGCTTCTGTTCAAGATGCTTGACAAGAGAAGCATGCCTTGCTACAGCAGCGTCTCTCATCATTTTCTCCCTCTCTTCAATACTAGGTTGGTTTCCCCAGCGTGAGGTGGCTGCTATAGTTTCAGAAAGAGTTCCAGCAATCAATGGCCTTTTAGGAGCTTTAGTATCAGAATGAATAAGGGTTGCTGCTCTTTGCCGTGCTTGTTCTTCTTGATCATGTAAGAAAGCACTTTTGCTCTCTGCTTCTACTAGGGCTTCCGTGACACGAGGTGGCAAGAAATCATTACCCCTGTAAAAGACAATATAATCCTTATTCCTGGAGACCAGCGTCCCTCCAGTCAATACCTGTTGAACAACAAGGATCTATTGTCAGATTCATTAAACTTTCACTAACATTTTTTCTAAAGAAGAAAGAATGCCTGTGAATCAGGAAGCGAACTCGCGAACTCAACTGCAACTTTGATGGAACGATTATGGAGTATACTCTACACCAGTACAGATTCCAAAAACAAAATCCAGAAAATGATAACTTGCAAAAGCAGCCAACAATTTAGTGGCTGGGATATCTAAGTGCCAGAATGAGGTGCAAGTTCAAAGAAAAAGCCAAGGAAAATTTTACTTTTTTGTCATAATCTTATTTCTTAGTATACTTCTGTCTTCTTTTCGTTCTTGCTAACACTTACTAATGCTGTGTGTACTTATCATGCAGTCTTAACTTTCTAAGAGTGTTTAGCGAGCTTTATCTGTTTACCTTAAGTTCTTCTGCCATTCTTTCATTGCTTGTATTGTGCACACCACGTTTTATCGCTATCTTCGCAATAGCATTTCTTCTCCATAGCTTCGCCATGGCTGCGGCTAAACCTTGCAGTTCTCTGTTCCTTCCTGAACAATGCAGACAACAGTTTGGAGGTCAAAAGAGTTCAAAGTTACCAATTTTCAAAAGACAATGAAACATTAGAAACCCTTTCCAAATACCTAAAGCAAAATGAGGGGGCATAATTCTCGCAGTTCTGCGCAGGTACGTCATTTCTTTGTTTTTTAGGTTGAGTTTAGCTCCATAAGGAAGACGCCGAAAAGTAGGTCTATAGCCAGGAACAACAGCAGGCAACAGATCAGCATCAACAGGCAGTGGTTCACGACCTGACCAATCTTTGAATCGTGGACCAACTTCATCTAGCAGCATGTTGAGCTCGCTTAAATCCATTATTTCTGCACCAGACAGATTACTGAAACCATTTCTCGGTCTTTCAGTAGCTTCATTTAAGGATTTGACTCCAAAGCTTTGACCGTTAGCATTCTTTGAAGACTCTGATTCGTCAATATCGTCGTTTCTTGTCGTAAAAGATTGTACACAAGGAAGCTTGTATGATATTCCTCTGTATAACACTATGGAACTGCCTGATCTCCAGATCACTAATCCTCCAGTTCTATGCTAACAATGGTCAAAGTATGATACACATAAGAATTCACAATATTACAATCTACACAGAAAACTGGAAAAATGTAGTCCCTCCGTCCCATTTTATGTGGCGGCATTTGACTCGGCACGGAGTTTAAAAAAGAAAGGAAGAGTTTTGAAACTTGTGGTCTAAAGAAAACCTTAGATTATTGTGCGGCTGTAAAACAATTCATTAAGGGCAAAGTAGAAATTCTAAAGATAAATTGTTTCTAAATAATGAAAGATACACATTCTTTTTTTGAAAAGGAAAGAGTGCCAGATAAATTGGGACAGAGGGACTAACTGTGTGGATCGACAAAATATTAGAACCAAAAACTTCAAAGTGGAACATATTCAACGCATATCGCGAGAAGAAAACTTCAAAGCCAGACTTATAAATGATTCAAGATATTATCTGAAGAAATTTAAAGAACAAAAAAGATTTATATACAGAGTTAAATCAGCTGACAACAATCTAGGTGCCATTTGCCAATACAAGAAATGAAACATAAATGTATGTACAAGACATCTATCTAATATTAACAAGAACCAACCTCTAGAATCTCATGAGTCCTCTTCATATTATGTGAAGGAGGACCTTCAAATCTCAATTTAACAATCTCATCCACTTTCCACTTCTCATGAATTGAGTCAACTAGTTCCTGTGTTATACCAGCTGATCCAACCTTTATTCTCTCCACCATCCTCAATGCTGCATTTCTTAGCTTCTTCAGTTGAGGCTCAGGTATCATTTTCTCTGCCATTTCTGCATTGCTTTTTCTCAGCTTGTCTCCCCCTACGGGTCCCACATCTCTCTCACCTTGCCATGGCAATCTAACTGAATTTTTAGAGGAACTCTCAGTAAAGGAACCACCTTTATTGTCTTGAACCTCATATCTATGTAAAACCTTTGTTTCCAGTTTGATATCTTTTTCATCCTTTCCTGGTTCAATATCCAATTCTTGAGAAACATTATTTTCCCAATTAGCATTCTTTTCAAAATTTCTAGCCTCAAAAGAATCAAGTTGAGATTTTTTGGGTTGATTTCCATGAACCCAAGGAGCTAAATTTACCTTAATTCTTGAACCAGAACTCACTGACTCATTTACTACTGGATTTTCTTCAGTTTTTGCCACAGAAAACTGGAGGTCTTGTTCTGCAACTTCTTCTATTGATACTGAATTTAGTTCTTGCCAAGGGAATTTTTCCCTTAATGAAGTGGTTTTAACAGACCATTTATTTTGAACTTGTTCAAGAAAGCTTGGTCTGGGTTTTTGCTTCTTTTTTGACTGATTGGTTTGATTTTCTTTATCTGAATGAATTGTTTGGGAAGAACAGTAAATTCTGATATTTTTAGCTCTAAAGTTGTGCAAAGATTGAATTTTGGGTAATGGAATGGGAAGTTGAAGTGGTTTTGAAGAAGGATAAGTGAAAGGGGGAGAAATATAATCAAACGATAATTGTGTAGAGGCCATAGCGGCCATGAACAACTAAACGTATCTTGGTCAATTCTTATCGCCAAATCGCCATAGCTTGAACAAAGAGAAAGGCATTTGGACAATGGGCCAGCCTCTGGCCCATACATGTTACTCACGTTGTAGGATTAATTGGGCTGTAGTTTTCTCTATTCTGAATTATCATGTGAGGCCCAAAATGTAGCCCGACTAGATGGGTCAAAAATTCAAAAAATTCTACCAAGAATTAACTTAAATAGCCGTTGAATCAACAACTTAAATTAAAAATAGCAAGCGGATGCATAATATATGTATAATTAGTATATAAGTTATATTTATCGGCTAGGAAAAGTTAAAAATGAATCCGACCAGATGTTTGTGTAATGAAGCGATGAGACAGTATTGTCATATAATGGACTTAATTTCTATTTTTGGATGACATAAAAAGTCGTGTAATATAAAAGATGAAAAACTTGATGTCCTGTACACAAGCTTAGTCAGTATTTGAAATTTATGAGTTTAAAATTCTAATCTTTTTAAGTTATTGGGTTCTAAATTAATAATTTATATACCTTCGATCAATTTGGACAAAAAAACCCAGTGGATTCGACCGGTAAACTATACTCAATATATATCCTCTGCAGGCAGTAATTAATTATCCCCATTCCTATACTATTATTATCATCTTGCCCTCACTAAAATGAGCTAAATGAAAATCTTTTGTCCTGGTGACAGAATCATCTTTGGATCAAACTGACTTTTCCTTTGTTGAAATATTTTCCATTTTTTGCCAAAATGATTCATCCAAGCTTCCTTGGTTTTGTAATGCGGAAGATACTGCTTGACGTTGAGACCAGCTTTTTCACAGCAGTTTATGATTTCTTCATTTTGTCCATCCAAAACTTCCCAGTCATTGAATCTACTAGAATGCAATAGCCCTACGCAGTAGAATGTGTCCTCTTCTGGTATCACAACAGACATCCGATCATCCCATCTGAAAGTATTCATAAACTACTAATCAGTTTCAAATAGAGACCATTGAAGATATAATTAATTAAATAAAAGTATGATCTCTCTAACAGAAGATGGTTACGCAGTTCAATATATATATATATATGGTATCAAAGTAGACCGAGAGAGATCTTGACTTACTCATTATCAAAAGCAATTTTCGCATGTTTGACTCACAAAAAAGAGTAAGTATGTACGTGAAAGAAGGTACCTAATGATGACTAGTTTCAAAGCCTACAAGAAAATGCATTATATACAAGGTAACTAATAGCATGTTTGGCCAAGCTTTTCCAAGCCAAAAATATTTTTTTTTAAATATTTTTTTTTTTCAAAGTTGAAGTGTTTGGCCAAGCTTTTTGAGGAAAAAAAAGTACTTTTGAGCGGAAGCAGAAATAATTTTGGAGGAGTAGAAAAAGTAACTTCACTCCGAAAGTACTTTTGAGAAAACTACACTTAGAAGCAGTTTTTAAAAGTTTTTGACCAAACATAATTGCTGCTCGTAAGTGTTTTTCAAATAAGTTAGTCAAACACAAACTGTTTCTCACCAAAAAAATACTTTTGAGGAAAATTACTCTTCAAAATAAGCCGATTTTTGCAGCTTGGCCAAATAGGCTACAAGTAGCGGATGCAGTACTAGCAAAAACTAGGATAAAGCACAATGAAAAAGATATTTTCGTATTCTGATACCCCATCCCAGGGGCGGATCCACGGTATAAAATGTGGTTCACGTGAACCCGTGATCCTCGGGTAAAAGTATATATATGATGTACAATTTGGCAAAACTACGTATTCATATTTAATGGAACCCATGATCAAAAGAGGTGAAGTGGTTCACTGGTTTTGTCCCCTTATGTCAAGGGATCAAATCCCCAACCAAATGTTTTGTTTAATTTTTACATAAGGGATCAAATCCCCAACCAAATGTTTTGTTTAATTTTTTTCTTAAATATTTCTTTTCTTTCTATTTCTACTAACTTAACTTTCCTTTTTATTCTTTAAATCACTAAACCAATTAATTTCCATGCAACTTCCCAGTTTTCACATGTCTGAAGTTTAATTACTCGATTTTTTCATCCCGAAATGGTGCACCCGTCTTCCCAGAATCCTAGATCCGTCTCTACCACATCCCATTTTGCTATAAAATATGACGTTGTGGACATTAAAGGGACAAATTTCACTAGAGGTATCCCCATATGCAGTAAGAGAAGAGGAGGGGTTTGTACAAAAAACATGAATTAACTAAGAAATTTATTATTATTTGTTGCTACCCTAGTTGATGGTATTTTTTGATAACCCATCGCTAACCCGTCATTGAAACTGATTTAACCACAGAAATATGCTATATAGTGAGGAGAAATTAAAAGAAAGTATCAGAAGTGAGTACCTTTTTCTGGTTGTTGGGTACACAAGAATAGGTCCTGTGGACTTGTTTTGTCTGAGAATGATGTCCAAAAAGACACCAACATTAAAGTCCATAATACTGGACTTTGGTACAAAGAGATTGAGCCAAGGGTGAGGAACATCCCACATTCCCTTTGATTGCAACATTAGCTCACCACTTCTCACTCTATTCAGAAAATGTACAAAGGCTGTATCTTTCTTGAATATGTGTCCAAACACAAAGTTCAAACCTCTCATCATCTTCTGCAATTCCTGAATAAAAACATACGTATATATATATATATCTAGTTAAGAGACTATGTCACGAAAAAATATTTAAAGATTTAAAGAAATTTATTTTTCTAAAAAAATTGAAGGACAGACCTGTCCTAACCCACGATCCTCTTAGGGCAGGGTTGGGCTATCCATGTTAAGGCCCATTCAAATGGTGGGCCGGACCATCCTAGCCCACCAAATTTAAAAGCCCACAAGGCTTGAGCTAGGCTGCCCGTTTTGATAGCTCTAGCAAAACACAACAAAATTCACCCCAAAAAAACCAACTCTGCCTTACGTAAAGTTGCCAGAGTTACACAATCTAGTGGAGTAATAAATGGTACCTTATCAACTGTATTAGCAGTCTGATCATCATAGTACTTGACCATTTCCAAACAGTAGATAATTCCATATTTGGATATCAAGGAAAGTATTTTAGATTGGTTGGAAGTTGAGAAAAAAGAAGATCTCCAATTATTTGGAGGACTTTGATTCATCATTAGAGAGCCTTCCACATAGTCCATGCCATCATTAATGGAGATCAGTTTTTCTTGGTCTCTTGTGAATTTTGAAAAATCACTATA